AGGAAGGAGCAGCAGGGCAGAAACGCCTCTCAGACAATCCCCAACGCCTCCCGAAACAAAACCCACATGGCAGGTGTGTTTCACAGTGTCAGCTTGAGGCGTCGGCTGTGCCAGCGCTGCCAGGGCTCAGGGCTCGAGCCTCTCTGCCAGCCCAGAGCCCTCCCGTCGCCTGGGTGTCCCCTGCCCCGAGTGGCAGCGGGGGGGACGTGGTGGCTCTCGCCTCAGCCCCTCTGAGCAGCGGGAAGGTCTGGGGTACGTGAGCTGGCCTCTGCGGGCACGAGGGTGACGTGCAGCCAAGAAACACATTCACTGCGGAAATACCCAACCAACCCCCTGTAATGGAGTTCTGGAAACGTGGGTGCTGGCACCCAGCCATGCTTCCAAGAGCCCTTGGGATGTCACATCGCAGTGCCGTGGGACATGCCTGTACTCCCAGGTCCCCAAGCGGGACACAGGCTGGGGTGTGACCGGCATCCCCTCCTCACCCTCCTGCATTTTTCCAGGAGCTTCCACCAGCTCAGTCTCTATCAGCAGCGCCAAGGGACCACGGTGTCCATCACTGGCTGCGTGTCCTCCATCTCGTTCCCAAAGCCTCCTGTCCCCCTGCTCCCCTCGTCACCCCCTGCCACCCTCCCACCCCACTGACCGCGCAGCCCTTTGCAGCCTCCCCAGCCATCCCAGCTCACAGGATCCTGCAAGGATCTGGTAATTACCAGCAGCAGCTGCCTGCCTCCCTGTCATCACTGCCCTTAATGGGACTAGAAACATGTTAATCATTTAGCAAAAGACACCGATTAATGTAGCACGCTGTTAATTACAGCTAAGAAAGTGTCTCCCATGGGGCGATGCCGCATCGGAGAGCCACGGCCTCTGCACCTCCATCACCGCCTCTGCGGCACGGCCGGGCACCCCGCCAGGCCACAGCTCCTTTGGCAAGAGCAGGAGGGAAGGAGGGTTCCTCGGGGAGCCGAAGGCTCAGCCTTCCCCCTCCGGAGAAGCGGAAGCATCCTAGAAAGCCATCCAAGGGTGTCGAAAATTAATTCTGGCTCCACCGTGCAGAGATGCTCCCTGATGCAAGGTGGGGATTTATGGGGGATGAAGGGAACCAGGACACAGAGCCTGAGCAGCGGGGACAGAAAAGGCACAGGCAGGCAGCAGTTGCTGATCCTCTCCATCCCCACTGCGGGAAGGTGGGATGTAGCCGGCGCTGGACACAGAGCTGAGCCGGGACGTCCCCGAGAGCCACACGCTCGGAGGTCCCTGTGCCAGGACGGAGAGTGAAACGTGCCACTGACAAGATACTAAAGGAAATTGATAGCGAACTGACCAGCAAGAAAAGATGATATCAAGGAGATAAATTTATAGCCCATCCTTCAAAGTTATAAAAATGCTTTTGGACTACGTGGAGATTACTCATGCGAAACCCGTCAAGTTATCCTTTCTTCCAAGTTATTGACAAGGGCTATTAATCTTCTCCCTGAACTTCGAGCTTTTCCCCATGTTCATCTCTCAAGGCACAGACAAGCCACTCTATCTTGTCAAGATAATTACCCATTAAAAAAAAGGGTGCAATAGACTGTCCAGGGGAGCTGAGCCCACGGGGACGTCCCAGCCCTGCTGCCACCCCCGGCACCGTCCTGCCGCCCCACAGAGGCTGCTGAGCCCAGGGGACACACGGGACCCAGGACTCATCCCTTCCCGGCTCCTTGGCTTCCCTGCTGGCACCTCAAATCCCACACAGTTCCCAGCAAGTAACATACAACCCACTGTGATAACACAGGAGGCTGGATTTTCCTCCCAGACATCCCTCTGGTGAGCAGCGTCAGCCCGGCACGGTGGCAGAAGCCCACTCCGGTGCCAAAGCTGTGGCGTGGCAGACAAGTAGAGGTCCCCAGGGCCGTTCATCGGGCACCTTCACCCAGGCCCCAGCTGCTTTTTGCAGATGGGAATTATGCTGGTGCACAACGGGGGCAAGGCGGAGCGGAAAGCCAAGGCTCATGGTGCACATTCCCGACATGGAGACAATAAATCTCCGCTAAACTCGCAGTAGATCAGGGCCACAAAAGGGATGTGACCCCGCTGATTGTGATAGCTGGGTCGTGCATCGCTCTACAGGGCTGATAATTAATTTTTGAGAGTGTGACGAGCCTCCGCGGGTACCCCTCAGAGGATGGACGCAGGTATCTCCTGCGGATGAGTCGGGATTAGCATCAATTCCCAGCACATCACCGGCTGTTAATCAAAATCGCTCACAGTGAGTGAGCCGGGCGACGGTGTCACCTCGGGACCTCCAAATCTGATGGGTGCTGGCAGCAGCACCCAGCGCTGCATTTTTGGGCTGGTGAGCCCATCCGGGGAGCAGGGACTGGCCCCCCAGGACGGATGCTCCCTGCAAACAGCTGTCTGCAACGAGGGCTTCAGCGAGGCTGGCGGTGCCTGTTCGGAGAGCCGGTGGGTGTGGAGGAAAGCAGAGCAGAGGCATTGCTGGGATGTCCCTGCCTGCTCAGACCTGACCTCGGTCAACAGGAACCTTTTATTATCTTAACTACCAGGCAAGCAGTGCGAATCCTCCCTGGTTGGCCTGGCTGGGGCACGCTGTGCTGCTGGAAAAAAAAAAAAAAAACCCTATTAAGAAGAGACCAGCAAGACACAAAACAGAAAAGGGAAAAGAATATGAGGAACCACAAACAAGGATGGAAAATCGAATAAAAGCTCCTCTCCCCACTGCCCACGTCGCTGCTCTGCGTTTAGCAGCAGCCTGGTCAGGTGGAGGTGAGAGCACAGAGAAATCCCCAGCTCTGCTGCAAAGCACAGTTACCTGCAAAGCACAGTTACCATCCAGCCCTTCTAAACCACGGCCACTAATTAGCTCTCCTGGAAAAAGTAGCCCACAAGGCCTGGAAGCATCCTGCAGTCCCCGTGTGGATCACGGAGCGGGGACACAGCCCTGAGCCGTGCCCCGTCCTCCCATCCTTGCCACCCCATCGGCCCGGCAAACCCGCTGCTGCCGTCGGCTCCTCCGTCTCCATCGCAGCACCCCAGCACCTCCCTGTCTGCATCCACACGTGCGTGAATTATTAACGAAGCAGCGGCTGGAAGGGTCCTTTCCAGCCCAGGAGTGTCGGGGACACAGCCTGGTGGAGGGAGCTTGGAGGTGGGGAAGGATGTCGTGGAGATCCAGCTGCAAAAGCAGCTGGGAAATGAGTCCTGGCCTGATCCTGGTCCCAGCAGGACAGTATGGGGAGGGAGTGCACAGGTCCTGGTGGGTGTCAGGGTCTCAGGGATAACGTGAGCAGCTGCCAGCAGTTTTTCATCCCAAAACCTGGTGTCCACTCCAGCCCTCACCCTTCACCTTCCTCCCAGCTCTCCCATACATGAACGAGAGCCATGAGCTCAGTGGTGGGACCCTTTGGTTTGGTTTTGGGGATGCAAAAACAAGCAAAGGCGGCGGCTCTCTGTGCGTGCTGGGCTCTACCCAAAACTAAAGCTCACGGGGCAAGTCCATACAATTCCTCTGGAAAATAGCCCCAAAAGGGAGATTTGCATAAGCCATGCAAAGCAGGAGCGCGTGGAAGCGCACAGGCAGGTTATTTGCTTCATCGTGCGTTATTTCCCCTCTCTGTTCACCTGCCAAGCAAACGTTCAGGAGATAATTTATTTGCTGACAAATTCAGGTAATTTAAAGACAGTTCCTAGGACATTTGCCATGTCGTGGTTTCAGCTGCCTCCACTAATACCTTGGCCCTGAAATATTGCTTGTTTAAACGCTACATTACGACGAAGATGAAGAGATCAGCGGTTTGCAGGACCTCCTCATGCATTTCCTGCTGTCGGGGATTTCTTGATGCCATCGGGAAAGAAGAGGAGCTCTCAGCTACCCAAGGCCACAGCCACGGGCAGGGTTTCCTGCGTGCCCTTGCTGCTTACCAAGCTCACAGCTGTGCATCCACCATAAGACTACTTGGGAAAGCTGCAGCACTGGAAAGTCCATGTGGGGACAGAGGTGTCCCCAAACCATCAGCTGAACGTTTGGGAATGCCAGCAAGTGGGAGGACGTGGAAGCACCATCCCTCTTGTCCTTGGTGGTGAAAAGGGGGAAAAAAACACCTTAATCATCAAACTTTCCAGGCACAGCCAGGTCCATCGGCCCGCCAGCATGCCATGGCTTCCACTGACGTCCCTCCCGAGGGGACGGGGACACGTGCAACTGTCCCCAAGTCCTGCCACGTCGCAGCCTGCGAGTCGCCGTGTCGTTATCTGTCTTCAGCCAGTGCCAGGCAGGCAGTAAATCTCTCCCATCTCTCAGTAAACATGTCACCTCCTCGAGTCTCCAACCATCACCTCGGCAGCAGAGCTGTCAGCAAGACAGATCCCCTGGTCGCCTTGTTTACTGCATTAATCCTACACGGCTCTTTTAGCTGGAAATGGCTGAAAATGCACAGCGGGGGTTGAGGAGGGGGCCTGGGATCGGGATCTGCTGGAACAAAGTTCCCCGCCTGGAGCAGCAAAGGGGCACATCAGCAAAGCAGTTTGCAACAAGACACTGGCAAACACCAGTTTGCACGCGTTCGGGGCGATCACCTCCTTTTGGGGCACCCCTGCACCCTGCCATGGGGTGACCCCTCCCTGTGGGCACGGCCTCAACGCTGGCTGAGCAAGAGCCGGATCCTGATCCCGCACTATCCATTGGCCTCGTTTCTCCACTACCGCCCCGGCTCAGGTGAGACAGGAGCCGCTTGCACGGGAGCAAGGATGCGCCGGTGGCTTCATGCCTTCCACGGGACAGCGGTGCTTCTGCCAAGCACACAGTGAGAAAGAGGCACTTGTTGAAATGCTGCGAAACAATGCAGAATTCAGCCCCAAACCCCCAAATCTGGGGGGTTTTGCACTGGCAGAAGACTGGGCAGAGGGAAGGGCGACTGGAAGGAGCGTGCAGGAGAGGGAGCAGCCCTCGCACAAACCAGACGTGCTCCACACGCTTCCCAGATCGCATGCAGCATGTCGGGGTGCACAAAAGCATTTTTGTGCAACACTCCTGTCCTCCTTCCTGGCCAACACAAGCCCAGCAGGCACCCGAGTGCCCATGCTGGCAAGCGGCTCTACATCGCCCACGCTCCCCACTCTGTGGAAGCACTGGTGTTTCTCCAGCCTTCCCTAAATTCCCACCTGTCTTTGACATTCAGTCCAAAAAAACACGCTCACCACCAAGACCACCATGTCCAGCGCATTACTTGCCACATGGCTGCCTTGAGCTGGGCCAGCAGCTCCGGAGCAATAAGGACGTGGCTGAGCTGAGAAAGAAAGTGAAACTTTTCTACCACCTGCTCCGGGCTCTCTGCCATCGCCTTCACATCCCCCCACATCCCGCACGATGCAGCGCCGCTCGCCCATGGCAGCCCCGTGGCTCTTACTGGTGCATTTCTTGATGCTGCTGCCCTTCTTCAGCGCGTGCCGGCTCAGCTTGCAGTGGAAGTTTTCTTCCCAAAACTCAGCAAACCAGATGTTCCGGCGGTTGTTGTCCAGCGTCCTGCTGGAGAAGTAGCGGTCGAAACCTGCCCGGGGAAGAGGGGATGGAGGGGGTGAATCTCTGGGATTGGCAAAGTGATGCTTAACAGGGCACAAAAATCCCAGGCAGATGGAAAGGATGGTCTTGTGAGTGATGGGGTCTGGGGACACGTGAGAGCGCAGTGGGTTTGTGTCCGAGCTGCCGCTTGGGCAAAGCTGCAGGTTGGAAAATCCATTCAGGGAAGACTCACTGGAAAACACAGCGTCTATCACAGCCAAAACCTCGTGGCACCAGGGGGAAGAGCCAACCCCGGGGGAGCTGAGGGGGCCCACTGAGCACAGCCCCTTACCTTTGACCGAGACCCGCTTGGGCAGGATGGTGACGGAGCCCTCGGCCACCTCCTCCAGGTGCAGGACCGGGGAGATTTTGGAGCCCCAGCTGTCCGAGCCCATCCAGATGAAGTGTCCCGTCTGGTTCGCCCTCTTGGCCGCCTCCAGCACCCTTCTGCGGAGAGAAGCAACAGGCGCTGGCACTTGCTGGCATCACGGGGCCAGGGCACTGGCTTCATGCCCAGCCCTAGGGAAGCAGGGATGCTGGCACGGGGCAGGGCTCAGCGCTGTTCCCATCTCCTGCTCTGGGCACTCATTGGCACCAGACACCACGCACAACCTGGTGCGTATGGATACACAAGAGCGAACTGT